AGTAAATTTAAATTATTTCACTGTTATGAGAATCGAAAATCTGACAATTTTTATTTTTACAATGATATTTATCTTAATTTTGCCTGCATCTAATTGCTATCCCAATTTTCTATTTTAGCAAATAGTTTATGACCTTGTAGAAAAGATTTCATACGTGCCGATGCTAAATAAGTATTGTTTAAAATTCAAGTCGCTTATTTGAAGTTTTCGGTCCAAAATCAATGATCCGGAGTTGGATATATTTGTTTCCCCTCATCTTTTCATGTATTGCGGAAGATAGCTCTATTTCGATAATTAAGATTAGATAATGAGAAACGATTTTATGAATTACTGAGTAATTTTTTTAGTGAAAAAAAATTCTCCAATTCTTTAGCTTGATCAGATTACCGATGAAGCTGATAATGAAATTGGTTGCTGTGCAGCAAATTTCGTAAAGTCTTGGATTGCCGGAATTGATGCTCTTGAAAACGGTGAGTTACTTCAGGTTTCTGATTTGCATTTCCTGGAATTTCGAAAACAAGTTTTTATGAATTCTTGATCTTATTTCATTAAAATTTCAAGACCACCATTTCTTAATGTTGAGATTTCAAGACCACCATTTCTTAATGTTCAGAGGGGTATGTATGAATTGTGGTCAGATTGATATGAAATTGCATATGCAAATGAAGATTAAAGAATGTGGAGAAATTTTTCCTGAAAATTCTATAGGCTATCTTTTATTAATTTTCTTGATAATATTCGAAACATAATGGAAATATATCTAGGAGAATTGATATTTTCAGGTCTTTATCAACTATCAGTGCAATTGGAAAAGGAGCAGAAAGCAATTAATAATGTGGCGGATCATTTTTCGGAGAGCGTGGGACTGATAAATGAAATGCATGATAACTTAAAGGAGCATGAAAGTTTACTCAAGAAGGTTTATATTTAGGTTAACTGATTTATGTTTAACTCATATGCATTTACCTATTATTACTAGAATTACCTTTCTAAAACTTTGAAGGTTTTATGATAAGTTGGTCTTTTATTTGATAACCAAATAGCAATATTAAACAGGTAAAAAATCAGATAATTAGAACAAGAATATATCAGGTATACCTTAAGCCATTAAAAAACCAAAAGATCTGTCGTCTTTAGGAGCCAGAAAATTTCTACTCCTTTAACACCAGAAATGATCCTTGGATTCAAATAAATAAGCCATGAACTTGGAGATTAGAAAGCTTACGAGAAACGGAAAAAGAACTATAAAAATATAAATGTAGAAAAAAGTAAGTATTTCTTTGAAATGCTTGCTTTTTCTTCACTCATATTTTCTGCGCCCCTAAAGGTTGTACGGAAAGTTTAAAATTTAATTTTTAGATGATGTATAATTTTATGTAGGGTTATTGTATCTGCAATTAATTCTTCATATCTGAAATTATCTTGATACTTGAGTCAAAATCAGTTGATTTATCAATCGCATAATCTTAATATTTAAACAGTATTGCTTTTATTGAAATTGACGTATAACTTGAAATTTTTTAAATAAATGGAGTTAATTATGGACAATATGCTCTGATTCGGATTATTAGAATAACTTTCAGAAACGCATGTATAATTCGATTTTATATCAATAATCAAATATAAACGATCTTTTAAATATCAGAATTTCTCTTCAAATAGAATTAAACAGTTTTAACTTACCCCAAAAACTATTTCATATGGTCCGGTACGCCCCATACCTTCCTGATAAAGGAAGACTCGGTTATCAGCAGTAGTTTTAAAAGTGAAAGGATTTTGGGCT